CTACCCCTACCCGCCCATGATCTCCATAAGGGCGACTGTGCTTGCCCTAGCAACGACGACTATTTTTTTTGCCTGCCCATACCCAACTACCCCTTTGGAAGGGGTACCCAACCCCGCCCATAACCAGGTGGTTACAGTTGGGTACGGGCAACGGTTCCCTGTTTGCGCTCTCTGCAATGGCTCGTCTCCTCGTTCTGTTGATAAAAAAGCCATGCTTGTGACTTGTATCTGGCTTTGCTGTTTTCTCAAATCACTCTCGCGCTTGTTGCGGTAGATGCAGTTTGATATGACTTGTTAACTGGTGGCAACTGGCTGCCGGATACTGCTGAATACGATATGATGAAGTGATCAGCAGTACCTTGAGATGGGCGCTGCATGAAATGAAAAAGTCCTGATGAGAGGAGCTGGGCCAAGGCAGGCCTGTTTCTTCTCCTGGCCAGAGCTCGTGCTCCTGATGATGGATATCAATGCGAAGGATATCCTGCATTGAGCCGGTATGTACGAAGCACCTGGCCACAATGGTGATCTATGTTCCGTCTTGGCCTGCGACTATTGCAATTTGACATTGATGCTGGATGATGAGATATGATGATCCTGCATTGAATTCAGCTGGTATTTTGAAGCACCCGGTCACAGTGCGGATGTATGTTCGTCTTCGCCTGCGATTATTGCACTTTGTCATCGATGGCTTTTCCTTACGTTAGCCTTTCAGAAGAAAAGATCTTCGGTGAGTTGTAGATGCCTGGCCGGGGCGTGTTGGGGCAATGACCTATGGTTGGTTCTTTCGAAGGGGGGGAGCACGCGGTGCTTGTTATTTCGAAGGAAAGGAATATCGCAAAGTGGAACATTAACTTCTTTTTTAATGAAATTAGATTGCGATGCGGCAGGCTTATCTGAGCCTCTGCTTGTGAGCATATGAACAGTATTATGAATGAATTGTGACCGTTTTCACTTATGTTTTGAGGGATAATTGAGTGGATCAAGTGAGTGATGGATGGATCTGTTTTTGGAGGTATGATTGTTTGGACTCTGTGAAGTGGGGAAAGGTCATCAGGCGGTTATATTTTTTTTCTTCTACCTGTTATTGTGTATGGGGATCGTGGAAGATGGCAAAAACTGGGGGCTTGTGGCAGACATCAGGCGAGCGCCGTGTGAAAACTATTGTAAACAGTATTAAGCAGGAGATGTGTGCCCACGCGCGGCATCCGGGGAGCGTGGGAGTGGGGCTATCTGGCTCCCCCCGGACATGCGAATCGATCTCCGCGCAACTGGGCAGTCGATCCAGAGGAAGGAAGATGGGTGTATCTGCTTGCTATGTTGGAAATAGAGGTGGTAGCTATCTTTTGGATTTATGTTCCAAATGAGGTGGGGGAAAGAGTGATTTTTAAAAAATCAATTAAAGAGCGCATCGCGCAGGGTATCCCGATTATACTGGCAGGAGACTATAATGCTGATCCGGACCGATGGATGGACAGGTGGAAGATCCCATCCCCGTGTCCTACTTATATCGAAACAGACAAACACATGGTAATGAACCTTTGTGTCATTGAGGTTGTATGACACGCTCTGCAGATCGTATCTAGCAAAATGTACGTTTTTGTGTTTTCCAAAAAATGGGCCGCGAAGGATCTCCAGATCTCGCATAGACCCGATCCTTATCTCGGAAGACCTGGAGGGGGCACTAGACATTGCGGAAGTTTTTCCACATAGCCCATGTCCTGGGTTGGATCATGCAATGTGTATGGTGATTTTGTCATTTCGGAAAAAGCCCGATCAAGGGCCTGCCCACTACAAGCTGAACACATCCTTGTTGGCACTCCCACCCCCAAGTTTCCAAACCCATATCAAGGAAACCTGGGCGTCATACTGGCAAAACCACAGGCTGACGCTTGGTGGTGAAGATGTTCAATGTTTCAATAACGGATTGTTTTTTTTGTGGCCAAGAAATGCAATGAATTCTCAAAAGCCTTAGCAGCCCAACGGTTTTTTGACGAAATGGCATTACAACATCAGTTAAATCAATTGATGAAGAAAGAAAAAAACTGAAAATTGTGAGTCGGAGTCAGAAGAACTGATTAGCGCTATCCAATCGATAGATAAGATACCGGGATTATAGCTAGCATGGAACACCGATGGCAGCAGGGTGCACGAATCAGAGGGAAGTTATGAAAGTATAAAATGGAGGGAGCAATGGACTCCCGTTTTTTGGCCATGGCAAGGGCAAGAACAGGGAGAACTGTTACAGAGGCCTTAACCGAGCCATCCCATCCCAAGAACATGATCAGCTGGCCACTTCCACACCACAATGTGTGCACATTGCACGGAGTTTCTTTCAAGACCTATTCAAATCAGGTTGTGTAAGACCTGATCCAAAGAGCAGACGATGAAGGAGACCGAGGATTTTCTTGAGACTTTGCTTGAGACTTTGAAGTGTAGCCTCTCGGATGAGCAGAGAGAGACATTAGACAAGTCCCTGGAAAAGGTGGAAGTTAGAACAGCCCTTATGCAGATGGCGGAGGAAAAGCCACCAGGCATTGATGGGTTGCCGAAGGAATATTGGGGATTTATGTGGAAGCCCCTATCACGTGACATTCTGGATTACTTCTGCGCTATGGATTACTTCTGCGCAGTTTGGGAGTCTGGTCAAATGGGGGAGGTGGTGGGGCAAGGGGTGTTCTCTCTCCTGTATAAGAAAGGTGGAAAAACTAACATCCGAAACTACCATATCACATTACTAACAATAGTACACAAAATGGTGGCGAAGGCTTTTGCCAATTGGACGATTCAGATGATGGAAGACAAAACGGGTTTTATCAAGGGCAGAGGAAAATACAAGATAATATTTTCTGATAAATGAGGTTATAAGGTTGTCACGACAATCAAAGCACAACGCAGCCATAGTCTTTTCGACTTTGAAAAAGCTTATGATCATGTTGATGGACTTATTCTGGACAAACGTGTGGAGAAACTCAATTTTGGCCCTTTTCTCAAAAGGTGGGTGGGGATTCTCCATTGTAGTGCCACAACAAGGGTGCAAGTAAAGGGGAGGTTGGCCCCCCCTATTGGCTTGGAACGTACGGTGGGCATTCTCCATTGTAGCGCCACAACAAGGGTGCAAGTAAACGGGAGGATGGCCCCCCCTATTGGCTTGGAACGTACGGTATGCCAAGGGGACCTGATCACCCCTTTCTTGTTTGTTATAATCATGGAGGCCCTGGCAACAAACTTGAGAGTACACAAGAAAATTCAGCGAATACGGGTCTCCTCTATCCCTGAAGAGGCAGTCCCGATTTGCTTTGTTTGTGGATGACCTCAGTCTCATGCTCGATGCCTCACCTGAAAACATGAAGGAAATCCAGTTGTTGACGGATCGTTTCTGCACACTGTTGGACATGAAACTGGGGCAGTAAGACTGAGGGATGGTGGATCCACTACCAAGGGTGCAGGCCACTAGAGACCCCCCAAATAAGGTCGGTACCAGCCAACTTGCCTATTAGAGTCTTAGGGGAACAAATGATTGCCGAGGGCCACCCGCCACCAAATGATGAATGGCTGATGCATCTGAAGGACCAACACACATCCTTGATGAGGAGGGCCTTCGTGATCGATAATGTGGTATTAGCTTCCCTTTGGTATAGGACAGTCATCTGGTCACTTAGTAAGACAGCACTGCGTCCCCTCCAAAGACAGGCGGCAACCTTCCTTTGGAGGGGAAATCATGAATGTCAAAGTGTGATTAGTAGGGTCGCTCGGCGCGCGATCGTGCAACCTAAAACAGAAGAGGGCCTGGAGATCTTAGATTCCGCCACACAAATTGGAGTTGGCTCTGCAATAGATAAAGAGCCTGATTTTTTATTTACACACCCCATGGAGGTCATGCCCAATTGCCTCCACACCCGATCCCACCACCTCCACAGCCAGACCGATCCGGGACACTGCAGAAAGATGTGTTCAATTGTCTCAGGTCTCCGCCTAGCCGGGTATGATGCCACACATAGTTCGCACCAGAGAAAAGTGTTTCCCTTCTGCTCCAGGGACTTGCGGTCAATCAGCCAATCGTTTGTGGGTAGGCAGCGGTGTTCCACTTGCCACTCTAGAAAAGTGATCTTGGCCGGTACTGATTTACTAAGTCTGAACCACTTGCACGGTTGGAAAGCACTCGTTTCCAACTTGAGGTGCCTCATCCAACGCTTTATCACCATATCCTTTAGCTTCACCCTTGGGCGTATCAGCCTGTAAGCTTCCTTTACGGATTGAGTCGATCTGCTGCTTGCTCGACGCGTGGACAGTGGACACTACCACATTTCCAACCTGATCCTCACACCCTTGTATCCCTACCCAATCACTGTCCTCTAGGGTCCGTCATTTTCTTAAGATCCTTACCATATCTACGGGTGTGGAGAAGATGATTTTTTCGAGAACTTCCCCTATATTGTGGCAACATCGCAGCCTCTTCCTTAACACTGTTTCAATTATCCAGTCTCTGACTTCTGAATCCCAAATATCCCCCACCCTAAGGACACCCCGAGTCACCCAGCCCTTCCAAGGGGCCTCCATGCAATGAAGGGCTGTGCCATGGGGGCTGGTGATCCACCCGTTCCTGAACAGAGGTTGTCTGCACACCTCCTCCAACCTTTGTGGAGCCACCTTGTCCCAAAATGGCAGCTTACACCAGATGCTGAGCAATGTGGTCCAAAAAGCATCATTATTAATATCTCTTCTTGCCGCTTGCCTGTCGGATCCTTACTCTTCGTTACCTCTTGTCGTCCTTCTGGTGTAAGTCCAGTTTCTGTCCTCCAACCACCTTATCGGGTCCGGGCAAGCGCATGCAGTGGTTCAGAGAGTATAGAAAGAGGTCGACCAAGATCTCTGCTCTGCAGTGGCAAATTGCCCATTGGTGCCTGCTGACCAACGAGTGTCTGATTGATCACACGCAGCTGGAACTGCCGAAGGTGCCTCCAGAACTTCCCTGGCAAAAAGCGCCCCAAGATAGTGGAACACATCTTCCTGCAGTGCCCCGCAGCCGTATTACTATGGCGATGGTGGGACAGGATTTGGCGACATATTGGACTGGGCTCATCATGGCCATGGGACATGAGGGCCATACTATTGGGACACTGCCCCCAGTTCCGAGGAAACACCTTTGAGGAGAAAATGTATTGCCTGGGTAGGCGTTCCATCCTGTGGGTAATACGGTTGAGAAATGCATTTTGGAATTGGAGGGGGCCAGGGTGGAAGACGGTGGAAGTCACGGAGCAACTACGGCTCCTAGTAAAGCACGAGATCACGGCCCAATGGCACACGCCGAGGTGGACATCGATAGAATCATCTCCCGGTTTTGCGAGGAATGGCTGGGAGGGAAACGGGGGGGCTGGGTGGCAAAAGTAAGGAGGACAGGAGACATGCAGGATCAGAGACAGGAGCATCAACCGGAGCATCAACCGGAAGGGGGGACGGCGCCGCAAAGGGGGCAAAGTGTAGAGTTGGATAGGGATTAATCGCTGCATTTCCATGAATGGACAAGGGTGGACCCCAGGGAACCATTACAACCTGCTCAGGAATTCACTGATCCCTTTTCCCCCCATCCACCGAACCTAGAGGAATGTCTGTGGGACGGTATTTGATCACCTAAGTACTACATGTTTCATCTGCTCATCTGCTCATCTGCTCCTGAGCATTTTCCTGGCACGGGCTTTACCACTACAGTCAATTGTTTGATGACCGGAAAGCAGGGAGACAGCCACGAGTCCCAGTGCCCCCCGGGTCCAAGATGGCAATGTGTTCTTTCCTCCCAGGCTACCGACGACATAGTTTCACTCAAAGAAATAAGCCCTGCACAGTCAATCCCCTGAGACCCAGGGCAATCAATGCTGGCAGGGGC